ACAAGCTTGTTTTGTTTCTGCCGGCCTGATCAACTGCATCCCTTTCGCTGTGTTGGCTTTAAAGCGACAACCACCTTAGTGTCCATAATCCCATTGCAACCGTCGCCCCCAGTTAGCCTTCAAGATGGGTGGGGAGGCCGAGTGCCGAAAGCTGAACTTACATCGCATCACAACTCTAACTACCCATAGCATCCGGCCCCCGAAAGGGGGACGGACCGTCGTTGAGCCCGGCTGCAGTGGTTTCGCCCTGCTGCTCGGATCTTGGTTTTTCGAAGTGATGAAAAAGCCCTCCCATCCATTTCCAATAGCCCTGCACCCACCCCTGCAACGCCCTTCTAAGGCTACAAGATGTGCATTCCAACTTCTCAATGCGCGTCCCGGGGTGCTGGAAGCCCGTCTGGGCCACCGTTTCTCATTTCCACTGCATGTTGTTGTTGTATGTTGTACTGTTTTACACAATCTGTTTCTGACCCCTTAAGCCGCTGCGTGCGGCCACCAGACGCCCCAAGCAGCAACCCGCACGGAGCACCCAGCCGCAGCGCGAGCAAAAAACCGCTGACTCAAATAAGGCCCTACGGACCCCCGCGCATTCGGATATCGTGCCAAAGTTGGGTTTTGAGACGTGCTGTGAATGACCTGCACGATGTGCCCCTCACCCACGACGATCCAATCAACCCGGGGATGCGGGCGAAGGGACACGGCGACCCCGACAAAACGAGGATGAGCAGTGGTAAGAAGGCCGTATGCCGGAATTCAGGTGATGGGGAGGAAACGGGCGGTGCGAAGAGCGGGGGCTCACGTACCGGCAAGGTTGCTAGGTCCTGAGAGGAACAACTTGCGCTGTCCACCCGTTACCGGCGCTACGACCCGAGGAGGCACTAGCCCCCTACATCGGCCAAGGCCAGCGCCCCAGCAGGGAGAGTCGGTTGGAAAAAGGCGAACCATTCGAGCGGGCGAGCCATTGGAAATGTATTGATTTGTCGCCGAGCTGGCACTGAGTCAATCGGCCAACTAAATATCGTACGATATTCTGGAGCTGGGTCGGGATGAAACCTGAAAAACATACTTTGGTTACATAGAGTACGGTAAAGGGGCTCTCCGAAGAGGTCCGGTAGTGTTGTGCCACGAAATACATGACCATGAAGGCCTTATGTTAGACTATGCAGCGTGTATCACAAATCTTGCGTGACTGTCACCAACGCTTTTAGACAAAAACATTATCACAGCATGCGTCGCGTGAAAACATGTATTTTTATCTCCGACTTTTTGTTCTCCATGTCGTCCAATTTCCCAGCGATTTTTACAACCTTTCCATAAGTCAGATTTAGAACGGAGTTGGTCATGCTTACAGCGTTGCTGACCCAGATCAAAACGCATACAACAGCCTATATTCCTAATAGCTCACATGAGCACCAGCCATGAAGGTCAGACACACATGACTGGATCGGTATGAGAACAGGGACCTATTTCGAAGGACCGTGCGTTTAAAAACTTAGTTTCCAGAAACACGTCAATGTATCTGGCAGAAAACTGAGCCCTCAGAGTGTCAGAGGACGTCTTTCCGGCATGCCGTGCACTTGCACCCAAACTTTCTGTGTCCTCTGGAGCATTCATTGCGCGTGTTTTGACATCATAGCGTGCCTCTAGCAAATCTGCTTTCCGAGGAGCTACTCGTTTTTAGGAACACTGCCCAGCGATCCACGGCTGGCACGGACGCCGGGCACAAACCGGCGATGCGCGTGACACCGTTACATAAACGGATGCGCGCATCATACGTATGTGTGGAAATTGGCTATTTAAACTTTGTGTCACTGCGGAGCATGCCATAATACGTAAGGGCTTGAGAAGCTCAGAAGGCAAATTTGTAGGAAAATTTGACCTTTGACCCTCGCCTAGTATGACAAATTATAGGCCAGGGAGAATGTAACTTATTGCTAATCGTAAGGTGTTGTTGAGCCCCCACCCACCGCTTCCTTCCAAGAGGCCCTGTCTGTCTTAGTTTTGAAATGACAAAGGGGGGGGGGCCGTATTGGCTCCCCTTGCCTCTAATAGTCCTCGCTATGAAAACGGCGAATCAGGGCCAGGGCGAAGCGCTGTGCAGCCCGGCGCCAGTGCTTCCCAAATGCTGCGTCGAACACGGCCTCTCCTGTGTCAGGTACGCGGCCGCTCCAGTGCCGAACGTGCGCCCACCCTAGTTCCGAAAACGCACCCACTGCTGGACACGTTGCCTCTCCTGTGCCGAACGTACGGCCTTTCCTGTGCCGGACATGCTGCCTCTCCCGAGCAGGACGTGCAGCCTCTCCTGCTGTGTCGGACATGCAGCCTCTCCTGTGCCAGACGAACGGCAACTCCATGCCGAAGGTTTGCCCACTCCAGTGGTGGCCGTCCATCACTCCGAAATACGCTTAAAAAGCTTTCTCCGCGGAGTTGACGCACGCACTGCTGCCGCTGGGAACAACAGCTCTCCAGTGAGCAGCTCACCGCCGACGCAATGAGGCACTGGCGCCGCAAGCTCTGTTAAGATGCAAAACATCATGACACGTTGAGGCTCAATGCAGGAAGTAGCTGAGCGATGGTATACTTTTATGAGCTTGTGATACGCGGCCATTAGGTCCTAGGTCCATAGCTGGAGCATATGGTGTGCTGTACGCGAATATGCCCATAACAGGTAAGCAGAGAAACGCTGTGGGTGGTTTTGATATGCACGCTACCCGGATTTTGATGGGGAGTGGTTGATTGAAATCAGTCATTGGTCTGAATCAACCGAAAATCAAAATCGTCGCTAAACACGAAACAAGATTGTGATCTAAGGAAGTGGTCACAGCGCCTCCAAATTCCAAATAATCAACCAATCTCGCCAAGCGCAGCCCGTTATTCGGACATTGACCCGTCATCCATGCAAGCCAGGCTCTGAAATAGGTTCTCTAATGTCGAATTTCTGGTTGGTGGTTCTGGATTGGGGAGCACAAACTTTCTGGGCGCAGATTGTAAAATCTGAGTTTTGGGCATCATGGCAAGCTATGAAATTCCATTCCAGACACTGCAGTTCTAGACATAGGCGATAGCTGTGATACAAAATAACATAGCCGTTCTCAGTTTAAGGTAACGCGTTTTGTAACATTAAGAAGAGGGTACAGCAGATAGCCAAGCGGTGGAGCGTGTTTTGATGAATGGGCTAAATCCTATAAGAGCTCTTTCTCGAACACTGGTGTTGCCACAGTATGCTTTGAGATAGTGCACATCGTTTGTTCCGTGCCATTTACGGTTGTGATACGGCCGCTGCCCAAAACATCAACATTCCGAAGCGAAAATCTTAATTTCGTTTATGGCTCATGGCCTCTTACTTATGTTCTATTTTTAAATATACCAGCCCAATCGCCACGGGAGTGAAATTTACCAATAAAAGACCTGGGTGCAGGTGACAACTGCGGCTGTTCCAAACTTCATCGATGACGGAAACGACACTATTTTGCACCTGTCACAACACTTAGCAGAGCTGCTGCGTACGAGACGCTCTTTGCGCATATAAAAAAGAACTGCGTTCAGGCGCGGTCGACTCATAGTACACCAAATTTGGCCGCGAATTATATCTTACATTGGTGGAAGCGGGATTAAATTGTAGGCTGCCAGTCATACACCCCGAAAATCTGCAAGCTTGACAGGAAAGGGAGGGTTCTTTAATGATGCCTGGAAACCGAGCCCATCTCACTATACCTTGATTCACCTCTGTTGCATAAGACAACAATAATCAGCCGCACGTTGATCAGCCTCAACCACTCTTCAACTTCCATGACCTCAATTGGTTGACAAGCTTGTTTTGTTTCTGCCGGCCTGATCAACTGCATCCCTTCTGCTGTGTTGGCTTTAAAGCGACAACCACCTTAGTGTCCATAATCCCATTGCAATCGTCGCCCCCAGTTAGCCTCCAAGATGGGTGGGGAGGCCGAGTGCCGAAAGCTGAACTTACATCGCATGACAACTCTAACTACCCATAGCATCCGGCCCCCGAAAGAGGGACGGACCGTCGTTGAGCCCGGCTGCAGTGGTTTCGCCCTGCTGCTCGGATCTTGGTTTTTCGAAGTGATGAAAAAGCCCTCCCATCCATTTCCAATAGCCCTGCACCCACCCCTGCAACGCCCTTCTAAGGCTACAAGATGTGCATTCCAACTTCTCAATGCGCGTCCCGGGGTGCTGGAAGCCCGTCTGGGCCACCGTTTCTCATTTCCACTGCATGTTGTTGTTGTATGTTGTACTGTTTTACACAATCTGTTTCTGACCCCTTAAGTCGCTGCGTGCGGCCACCAGACGCCCCAAGCAGCAACCCGCACGGAGCACCCAGCCGCAGCGCGAGCAAAAAACCGCTGACTCAAATAAGGCCCTACGGACCCCCGCGCATTCGGATATCGTGCCAAAGTTGGGTTTTGAGACGTGCTATGAATGACCTGCACGACGTGCCCCTCACCCACGACGATCCGATCAACCCGGGGACGCGGGCGAAGAGACACAGACACACATGACTGGATTGGTATGAGAACAGGAACCTATTTCAAGGGACCGTGCGTTTAAAAACTTGGTTCCAGAAACACGTCAATGTATCTGGGAGAAAACGGAGTTCAAGGAACAGTTAGACCAAGATTGTACGAGACCAGTGGTAACATCATATTTGTTATGGGAATGCTTCACCCCTAGGAATATTCCAAAAATGGACCGGCCGTCTCGGTCGCCTCGGATACCTTGAACATTTGGGGTCTAACTGACCGTATTCTTGGTAGGAGAGAGATAGGCCGTGTCGTGCGGGGTCGGCTTCACGTCACGTGCGGCGTCACGGGGTCACGTGCGGGGTCACGGGGTCACGTGCGGAGCCACGTCACTGTGCTTGGAAAAAGTAATCTCGATCAAACCCGGCCGGCCGTGGCCCGCTTGATGCCCAGACCACTCTCAGGGAGCGCGCCTCGACAGCCCGCACACGAACGGCAGAGGATCATGGCACGACGCGACACTCGCCACAGCCGTGGGCACCGCCATCTTGGCGCAGTTGGCGGTCGAGCTTGGCTGCAGATGGGCGCCGGACGCGTCCCACTTGAGGTACCATGCCATCCCGTCCAAAGCCACCCAGCTGCCGTCGGTGACCTCGTCGTGCACGCCGACCCAGAGGTGGCCGGTGACGCCCGTTTGCGTGGCGTGGGCGGCCAGGATGGTGTGCACGCCCTCCTCGGGCGGCTGGCCCAGGCGGGCTCCTTCCGCCAGCTGGCCGCAGTGCTGGTCGGCCGCGTGGAAGGCCAGCGGTGCCGTGACCAGCAGGTAGCAACGGGCGTCGAGATCCAGCCAGTCGGGCGGACAGCCCGACAGGAGTCCACGGGGCAGGCGAAACTCGCATACCGCACGAATGGAAGATCCGGAGCATGTGCGATGCTTCAAGGAGGAGGAGATGCGTCTGTGCGGCAAATTTAGGCATTTGCCACCATCATCCACAGCCTGTACAGGTATGGGGGTTTCAAAGAGCGTTTTGTCCGGATTTATCCAATCCGTCGTCGTTAATGATCGTTTAGGTCCCACCCATTCTGCGTCGCCTGGCCGACTGGAATGATGCTGTAGAAATTTTAGTTCCACCTCGTCGTTGATGGAGACAAGTCCTGCGCACCTGTTCAAATCCTCGCAATTTTTGTTGGAAGTCCAACGGTAGCCCGTCTCCGTGTTCCGGAAGTAGCAACTGCCGCGGAACGGAATCCAGCCGGGGTCACATGGGGGTGTTGAGGCGCGTGACGGATCCCCGGGAGTAGCTGTCACCCAGCTCTGGCAACGCTGGTCCGGAGGGCAGGCAGTGCTGCGGGTCTGACAACAGGTCGCACCGGCCGGCTGGCCCGTACCGGAAGCCGTCGCAGTACTCGGGCTCCAGACGACCGCAGAGCGAGGCGCATTCAAGAACGCTTGCAGCTGTGGTGTGATGAGAACGCCTCGTCGGTGAAGCTGCCAGCCTCGCGATCGAAGAAGTCGCCCGTTATGGCCGTTAGGCCCGCTGTCAAAGCCGGCAGAACGACGACCACCCCCAGCCACATCGCGGGGAGAGGTTGGCGCACGTCCCAAATACCCTCCGTCGCCTTCCGGCTCTGATCGTACACACCGCCTCGACAAAGCTGTCAGTTGAACCGCAGGTACAGGAGGACTCCACAGTTCCGTGGCTCCGACTGCAGCCGCCGAACCCTACTGCAGACCGACAGGCTCGACCCGATGGCATCGCGCAGCACCGACCCAACAGCAATGGCGTGCCTGTGGCGTGTTTAGCTGCCGTGTTCCCGGCGGACGCGCCAGCGCTTTGTTGATCTCAGTCACGTCGTAGCGGTCGAAGCACCCAGCATTACTGCACTCTGGGTAGCGATGCTGTGACGTCATTCTGGGACTAAGTTATATGGCAGCAATGCTGCGGCTGCGTGAAAACGCTGTTTTTTGCGGGATGGTTCAAACATGCATATCTTCATAAACCGAACTTTTGTAAGACTTAGAACATTCAATGAACCATTTTTAACTGGGAAATGGCATTGGGCTGCACCAGAGCTGCAAAATTATTGCTGAAATGCGCTACCAGTCTGCCCCCGACAGAGAAATGGGGTAACCCATTCACCCACTTACCAGGGATTTATCCCGGAGAACTCTAGCCCGAAGTGCTCAGAAACAGATTGTGTAAAACTGTACAACAACAGCAACATACAGTGGAAATGAGAAACGGCGGCCCAGACGGGCTTCCAGCACCCTGGGACGCGCATTGAGAAGTTGGAATGCACATCTTGCAGCCTTAGAACGGCGTTGCAGGGGTGGGTGCAGGGCTCTTGGAAATGGATGGGAGGGCTCTTTCATCACTTCGAAGAACCAAGATCCGAGGAACAGGTGTGAAACCACTGCATCCGGGCTCAACGACGGTCCGTCCCTCTTTCGGGGGCCGGATGCTATGGGCAGTTAGAGTTGTCATGCGATGTAAGTTCAGCTTTCGGCACTCAGCCTCCCCACCCATCTTGGAGGCTAACTGGGGGCGACGGTTGCAATGGGATTGTGGACACGAAAGTGGTTGTCGCTTTAAAGCCAACACAGCAGAAGGGATGCAGTTGATGAGGCCGGCAGAAACAAAACAAGCTTGTCAAATAATTGAGGTCATGGAAGTTGAAGAGTGGTTGAGGCTGATCAGCGTGCGGGTGATTGTTGTTGTCTTATGCAACAGAGGTGAATCAAGGTATAGGGAGATGGGCTCGATTTCCAGGCATCATTAAAGACCATCCCTTTCCTGTCAAGCTTGCAGATTTTCGGGGTGTATAACTGGGAGGTTGCAATTTAATCACGCTTCCACCAATGTAAGATATAAATCGCGGCCAAATTTGGTGTACTATGAGTCGACCGCGCCTGAACGCAGTTCTTTTTTATATGCGCAAAGAGCGTCTCGTACGTAGCAGATCTGCTAAGGGTTGTGACAGGTGCAAAAAAGTGTCGTTTCCGTCATCGACGAAATTTGGAACAGCCGCAATTGTCACCTGCACCCAGGTCTGTAATTGGTAAATTTCACTCCCGTGGCGATTGGGCTGGTATATTTAAAAATAGAAAATAACTAAGCAGCCATGAGCCATAAACGAAATTAAGATTTTCGCTTCGGAATGTTGATGTTTTGGGCAGCGGCCATATCACAACCGTAAATGGCACGGAACAAACGCTGCGCACTATCTCAAAGCACACTGTGGCAACACCAGTGTTCAAGAAAGAGCTCTTTAGGATTTAGCCCATTCATAAAAACACGCTCCACCGCTTGGCTATCAGCTGTACCCTCTTCTTAATGTTACAAAACGCGTTACCTTAAACTGAGAACGGCTATGTTATTTTGTATCACAGCTATCGCCTATGTCTAGAACTGCAGTGTCTGGAATGGAATTTCATAGCTTTCCATTATGCCCAAAACTCAGATTTTACAATCCGCGCCCAGAAAGTTTGTACTCCCCAATTCAGAACCGCCGACCAGAAACTCGACATTTTATAACCTTTTTCAGAGCCTGACTTGTATGGATGACGGGTCAATGTCCGAATAACGGGCCACGCTTGGCGAGATTGGTTGATTATTTGGAATTTGGGGTCGCTGTGACCATTTCCTTAGATCACAACCTTGTTTCATGTCGAACAACGATTTTGATTTTCGGTTGATTCAGACCAATAATTGATTTCAAACAACCACTCCCAACCAGAATTCGGGTAGCGTGCATATCAAAACCACCCACAGCGTTTCTCTGCTTACCTGCTATGGGCATATTCGCGTACAGTATATCACATGCTCCAGCTATGGACCTAGGTCCTAATGGCCGCATATCACGAACTCGTAAAAAGTATACCATCGCCCAGCTACTTCCTGCATTGAGCCTTAACGTGTCATAATGTTTTGCATCTTAACAGAGCTTGCGGCGCCAGTGCCTCATTGCGGCGGCGGTGAGCTGCTCACTGGAGCGCTGTTGTTCCCAGCGGCAGCAGTGCGTGCGCCAAATCTGCGGAGAAAGCTTTTTAAGCGTATTTCGGAGTGATGGACGGCCACCACTGGAGTGGGCAAACCTTCGGCATGGAGTTGCCGTTCGTCTGGCACAGGAGAGGCTGCATGTCCGACACAGCAAGAGAGGCTGGACGTCCTGCTCAGGAGAGGCAGCATGTCCGGCACAGGAAAGGCCGTACGTTCGGCACAGGAGAGGCAACGTGTCCAGCAGTGGGTGCGTTTTCGGAACTAGGGTGGGCGCACGTTCGGCACTGGAGCGGCCGCGTACTTGACACAGGAGAGGCCGTGTTCGACGCAGCATTTGGGAAGCACTGGCGCCGGGCAGCACAGACTAAAGATCGGGACTAAAGACTAAAGATCAGGGGCTCAGTTGGAAGGCTGAAGGGCCCAGAGGCCTGGATGATGATCGCATTAAGAGACCCCACTAGCAGAGCCGTGGCCTCAAATCGAGCATCTAAAGAGGTATTTCTTGAGCAGCCGTTTTACGTGTGGTATGATCCACTTATTGATTCGTAGTTTCCTCGGGTCTAGCCATTTTTCCTCTTCCATGCCCTTTGGCGATCCGAAACTCAAATATTTTGTTCTGTTGTATTTCGGCTGATATATATATATATATATATATATATATATATATATATATATATATATATATATATATATAGACAGATATATTAGCATCCTGAAATGAGACATTTTAGCTCTATTTGAGCATTCATCAGTCTGGACAGACAGTTCTTTCCACCTCTAAACACGAGTCAACTTCAAGCGAGCGTTCGCCCCCCGCCCCCCCCCCCCCCCATCCTTTTCAAAAGGCCGTGGTGACGCCCCTGGTCGCATTGCAGACACAACGCTTCCCAACAGCACCGCTAGGTCCCGCCACGAACAAAGGTCCGTCTTTCCTTTGGGGTTCTGTTGAGCCATGGACAACGATTGCTCTCGTTTGGCAAACTGATCAAAGCGAGCGATAACGACCGAGCTCCCCACCCCTGCGACGGCCGTGGGAAACAACGGCTGGTCGGGAAAACGTACAGACTAGATAGCTGTCCTCAGGATTTTCTGCGTTGGAACTTTGTCGACAATGCAGGAAGGTTATGGGAAGCGGGAAGGTGTTAAAGGTCCAGATGTATTAATAACCCAACCAGTCACAAGATGGATTGGTTGTCACTAGTCCAGGGACAGGCGATTCAAGAGTGAGCCCATGGGCATGCGAAATTTTCGGTCATCATCTTTTACGCATAAATGCTGCAGACAGCTGCACCGCGAGGCCTTCGAACGAAGATGGAGCTAGCTTCCAATGAGGTGCTGTGTATCTGAGGCGAGGGATTGCGAATATATAGCAACTACCGTTAAGAAAGGGGTACACGAGGCTGTTTCAGGGCAATGACAGGGCGAGTCGGCGAAAAAGCGCCTCAATTATCGGGCTGTGATATCTGCGCGCACTCACCGGTATCTGGCGTTCCGGGAACCGCTGTCCGCGGCGACCGGTCAGCCCCGCCTCCGGCGATCGGCTGCAGAGTCGTGCCCAGGCGCGCGCAAGGCTGCCTAACGAACGTGCGCACTAGTAACACACTACACACACTTTCCCCTCCCCAGCTTGCGGGTCTGTCGCTATCAACCTTTCCATCCCCATACCATGCAGACTACACGGTCCATTCGCCGTATGGCTCAGGAGGGCGGGCTCGCCTCTCACCGCGACGGTGGTGGGGAACACTCGCGGTTCATTGGGGCGATCAGCATCACCTCAGTTTCTTCAGTATGTCTCTCGGAATTTTCAGACTCGCTATTTTCACACTCCGGGTCATTTTCAGAGTCCCACATCCCCTGATTCCACGTCAAGCTGGCCATCTGTCCCCGTCATTTGTCACCATCTCGTCTGCCTCTGTCCCCCGGTCCCCGTCACCCTGACTCGTCAGATGCGGCTGCCTTCCGCTCACAGGTTGTTGTCCTCTCTTTTTGACGCGGTATGTGTTCCCTTGTCGGCAGATGATCACTATAAAGAGCCATCCCAACGAGCTGAACTTTTCTGGCGTTCCTGGCTTCTGTGGAATCTCCACAATCACCTGATCCCCAGACGTTACGGGATCATATCTGTCGTTTTTCGTCTCTTGTCCACTATTTCCCGTTCTTTTCTTCTGCTCCCGTCTTGCTATATCCTCCTGAGTTCTCGCCAACGTTTTCACCACGTTTCTGACCCAAGACTGTTCTGTGCAAAAACGGCCTGAAGAGCTTTCTTACGTTCGAGCTATCTCAGGAGTGGTGGGTCGCGGTCAAACTGGAGAAAGATGGAGACCTGCTGGTGGCGTTGTGAGGAGCTGACATGCACTGCAATCTATTAGTACCCATACGCTTGTCCCATTCGCGTTCCGACTCCTGCACGTTGCGACCGATCAGGACACCGATTGTCTGGTTCGCCCTTTCCAAGGCTCCATTCGACTGCAGATGGAATGCACTAGACTTTTTTTCCCTATGCCCATCGATTGTGCCAACACCGCCAGATGCTGTTTGTTAAATTCCAGACCGCGAGCCGTCAGCATGGCTTCCGGGAGACCGTGACGGTACACGACACTCTCGATCAGTGAGCTGGCGACGGTGTCTGCCGATTTGTCTGGGATGGCGGCCAACCTGACACTTTTGGTCAGGAGGTCCAGTGTGGCTGGAACGTACCGATTGCCCTGCTCTGTGGTCTGCCGCCCGAACGGTCCCATCAGGTCAACAACGACGTGCTGCCAAGGAGCTGTGGGCGGCATCGTCGTTTCCAACGGCTCCGTGAAAAGGCGCTGCATGTTGTTTGAACGTGCACACACCAAACAACTACCACAGAAGTTTCTGACATCCTGCTCCATTTCGCACCACACAGCCTGCTTCACCAAACAGCCAGCCTACTTCAGCAGCTGACATGTTTTTCCAGTACCGAAATGGCCAAACTCGTCATGCTTGAGGCTCAAAGCACGCGGACTGAGGCCTTTGGGGACCAGTGTGTCCTTTATAACTGCTTTGACGACGACTAACAAACTGCTGTTCTTATCAATGGCCGGCTCAAAGCTATGCTGTCGCCATCGACGGCTGTGTGGACCCTGCACTCTTTTGAGGCGTGTTTCCATGCGCAGTGCCCTCGACGTTTCGTCCTGTTCCTGGGCATCTCGCATCTTCCTCCACCAGGTGTATCAGATCGTGTGGCTGAGACTGTGGCGCTGGCTGCGCTGCGGAGATCATCCCGCGAGACAGAGCATCAGCATGTTAGTTGTTCACGGTTCTTCTGAAATGCATGGAAAAACTGAGCTCCCCAGTCTCTTCGACCGAGCGTGCGTAACACCCTCTCGGACGTTTGGTGTTGCGTAGCCACTGAACCCCACAGTGATCATTGAACCACTTAAAGCGCCCTCCAAGCAAGTGCGGTCGGAACTTCCTCAATGCCAAAACAAAAGTAAACACCTTATCTCGACTGTGCTAATTCTGTTTACTATCTGTAAAGCTCTTTGAGGCAAAGCTCACTGGCCTGTTGACATCCGATTGGTTCCACTCTGTAAAAAAATCACAGCCCAACCCAAAATCCGATGCATCCGAGCTAACCTCGCTAATAAAAGGTTAACCTAATTACGTCCGTTGTGCCCCAGCATTGACGTTAAACAGATACATGCCAGACAAACTGATGAGGCCTGTTCATTGCTCGCCGTCTGAAATCAGTTACATTGTGGAGGGGTCTGCGGTAGAGAAGCGAGGGGTTGATCATTTCCGGGACGAGGAAGCCGAACTCTCTCATGCCGTGCTTGGGATCGGCGCGGCGGCCGGGCCAGCCTGCCGGCCGACTGGCACTGTCGCCGAGGGCAGTGTGACGTCATTCGGAGTCGAGCGGGTCAGCCAGTGGCCGGCTCAGCGGGACAGGGGACCACCACGTGACCCGGCCAAGGTCAGCTGGACGGGCGGCTCGCAGGAGCGTACCCAGGAGGCGCACAGTGCGGCAGGGCCGGGCTGGCCGGCGCCAAGGTCGGACCGGGCTGGTTTTCGGGGCAGGCAAATGCGAGGCTGGACATGTGGGATTTCTGGCCACCGGTAGGTGAAGCGTACTCAGGCTCCACTGGGTCACGGCCGGGGACCACCGACCCCGTGGTCTGCTGGCGTTGTTGTGAGTTAGGACACATTCAACATGATTGTCCTCGAGCTTTAAACTGACGAGGATTGCTGCCGTAACCGGCAGAAATCCTCGGCAGGTAACCGGACCCGAGGTAAAAACTTCCCACAATTCGCAGGTCAGTTCGCTTCATGTGCGTAGCCGCATTCCGAAAGTGGATTGCACGTGGTTGGTTAATACGGCAGCAATGGTTACCTGTGTACCGGCATCTCTTCCCGAGGTCAGCTCGTTACCACCCAACCCAGCGGCTATACACCCGAGCTCAGCCAATCACACGGCATGTGTTGGTATGGTTTCAGCCAGCGTTTTAATCGGCCCGGCAGCGATCAATGCCATTCAGGTACTGGTGGTGGAGGATTTTTCCGCTCCGGCTATTCTTGGGAGTGATGTTCTGGCTTCGTTTCAACCCTTCCAAGTATACTATAGTGATCGGGTGCCTTATCTAGGGGTTTTCGCGCATCATTGGAGGAGCGGTTAGATGGTACTCCGCTGCAGCCAGTTTCCGTCCGCCTTGCGTATGATTTAACAGTGGAACCATTTTCTGAAAGGAATATTTAGCACATGCTTAGGACTTCGGATCGATTTCTCGAGATGTTATATTTGATCCGGATCCTCAGCAAGTGGAACGGTATGGAAATGCAGCTAGTCCTTGCCTGACTCGGTCTGGGGTGGATGGCTGTATCCCAATTCTTGTGGGAAACCCCGGACCAGATTCTGTCTGTCTTTATATCTGTTCCGCCTTTGGCAGGGTTGAAGACGTACAGACGGCTCCAGCGGGGGTTGACAAGTCTAAATGAGTCGAACCAGTAAACGTTGATTTGGCTGAAACGGAAGGCAGTGAGGTCAGTCGCGGAAACTAAAGTCTGTTCGACGGGCATCGGGACGTGTTCGTAAGTTCTGACGCTGTGCTGGAACGAACACATCATGCCCGTTTCGGCATCAACACCGGCGGATCGCCACCTGTTGCACTTATGGCCAAGAAGAACCCCAAATCATTTCAGACCAGGGACGCGGAGGCAGATCGCTGACATGGCGGCCTGCGCGCTTATCCAACATTCCAATTCCCTTGGTTTGGAACCCATTTTGATGGTCGCTGTTGATTGGAGGTTTGAGGCCCGCCGACTACTCAGGTCATTTTGCGCCCATAACAGCTAAATGACTACCTACGGGTGTGAATGGCTAAAAATCCTATATCAGTCAGAACTAAAAAGCTCTGAGTCGTGACAGGAACGCGAGATTCGTCACCGATGATATCCGATTAGGCGAACCCATAATAAATTGATCATAAAACTTTTCAGCAGCCTGAACACTTCCTACACGCGGTATGAACTCCTCAGGCAGGTGTATATCAAGTGCAGAACTTAACATGCGATACGAACCTGAGGATATGGCCGATATATGGTGAGGTGTAACATAGTAAATGCCTATGTAACAGGTAACATAGTAAATGCGCGATGCCAAGCGCGCCCGCTTGGCATCGCGGGCGCGCCTGTCCGCCTCGTGCCGCTCCAACGTTTCTATCGCCAGCCCGCAAGCATTCGCTAGTGGTGTCAGAGGTGACAAAAGCAACGGAGCACGCGAAGCGGAGGCAGACGAGGGTGGCGAAGAAACTGACGCGGAGGCCGGTGAAGTACGCGGGCCACGGCCGCGCCGGACCACCGTCCAACCCTCCTCTCCGGCAGGAGACCGCGGCGCCGGGGGAGTCGGCACCATGGTGGGCGCCGACCGGCCAAGCGCCGGGGATGAAGCAGGGGCTTAGCCCGGAAGCCAACGTCAGCTACAGACTGGTCGGCCGGCGATGAAGGAGTTCGGACTGCCGGCTGGGAGTCCGGTGTACGTGCTGAAGGTACAACAGTAAGACCAAACGATTTCAAAAGTCCCAGGAACTGAATGGCCATCATCTGCTCGATGACGTTGTGCGGCAAAGCAGTTTTTACTTTCGATGCATACGAGAGCTTAGGATGAATCGCGTCATATAGGTCTCTGGCCTCTCGGAAAGATATGTTTTTGGATGTTTTTAGCGAAAGTATCTCCTTTTCTCTGACGAACGCTGGACATGAACGGTCAAACACAGTGTGTGGTGTTTGGTCCTTACCACAGTTGACGCAATAAGGCTGGTCAGCGGTGCAGTTGTCTCTCAGGTGGGTCGTGGACGAACACTTGCTGCATACTGGCTTATTGCGACAATGGGGCTTCGTATGGCCGAACCGTTGACATTGGAAACAGCACATTGGATTGGGAACAAAAGCACGGCCTTTCACGCGGGCACAGCCCACACGGATATCTGATGGCAGATCCGGACGATTGAAAGTGAGAATGATGTTGTTGGTAGCATTCAGCTCTCCTTCTCTCCTAACCAGGATTCTACGCACGGCGGTTACGCCGAATTCCGAGAGCTCCTCGACGATTTCGCTCTCATTCACATCACGAAGGTCAAAACAATTTACGACGCCTCTAGATGAATTTTGTGTTGTGTGGTGTTACTGTCAAAGCCACGGTTTTGTCATGTTTCCCGTCCTCATCACGAATGCTATAAATGAACTCTTTCGCTTCTAATGCACGCTTGACCTCCAGACCACTGGCGAACTCTACACCGATGTTGTCATCCCTCAGCTTGTCACATCTCGTGATGCCTCCAAGCTTGTCACAGCCGTTGCGTCGTTGGAACGGTGATAGGGTGGAAAGCTTTACATCTCTACTGGAGAAGATCAGAATCCGAGGGCAAGGGATGGCAGAATCCCCCTCGCACCCGGGCCTCAGCGCTGTCCAACCTTTTTTCGGGGGCCGGGTGTTTGTTGAGTTTTGAGAAGCCATGCAATTTCTAGCAAGCATTCGGCACCGGGGCTCCCCACCCACCTCGGAGCCCAACTGGGGGACGGTCCTAAACTCCCTCGGGAGGTGGTCGCCGCCAGGGCTACCCCGGTGCTATATGGGACGAACGACGCCTCCTGCACGGCCAGGTGTAACCGGGGAGACCCCTCTCCGTCCTGACCGTGGTTCAGCGCCGCAGCCACTTGACCCCTTAAGCCGCTGCGCACGGCCAGGCGCCCCAAGCGGAGAACCGCACGGAGCACCCAGCCGCAGCGCGAGCGACAAGCCGCTAGTCCCGTGTGGGGCTCCACGGGCCCCCCACGCCCCCGGATATCCTGGCCAAAGTGGAGTGCTGGGACGCGCTGTGACTGACCCGCACGACGCGTCCCTCAGCCACCAGGATCCGATCAATCCGGGGACGTGGGCGAGGGGGCACGGCGACCCCGATAAAACGAGGATGAGAAGCGGTGATAGGACCGGATGCGGGAGTGCGGGCAATGTGGAGGGAGCGGGCGGGACAAGGAGCAGGAGCTCACGTACCTGCAGGGTCGCTACGCCCTGAAAGGAACAGCTTGCGCTGTCCACCCGTTACCGGAGCTGGGACCCGAGGTGGCGCTAGTCCCCTACACCGGCCGAAGCCGGTGCCCTTGCGGGGCACTGTGAGCGTGGCGTTGCAGTGGCGACACCGTGGTAGCTCGTCGCGACAGAGTAGGCTTAGATGTGAGGCATGAGCATGGCCAATCCGCAAGCGACACAAGATAACTTCCTCCTGTCTAGACTTCCGATGGGATGACTGTCATTACTGAA